CAAGTCATAATATTTAAAACATCATAGTACAATTATTCAGAATGCGGAAATCATGAGGGGAGGATGTTGTGCCATCACGCCGGGCCCTTCGCTTTCAAACCAGAAGTACCTGAAACCATAAACATAAACTGTAAGCACAAAGTTTAGTGAGTTCCCCAAAGTACCACATACCATACACAAGGAAATGAATGCTATGGGCCAAATCATAGTCTTACAATCATATCCTTCCATGGGCCAAATCATGGTCTTTCCTTGTAATGCCGAGGGCCAAATCCCGGTCTTATATACAAGTGTCAGGGGCCAGATCCTGGTCTTTCATGCAATTGTCATGGGCCAGATCATGGTCTTTCATATAATTTCCAGGGGCCAGATGATGGTCTTTCATGCAAGTATAACAGAGACAACTAGAATCCTACACAATAAAGTAATGGGATGGCATTGGTGCCTTCGACCCACGCGTATAGTGAGGAGACTCACCTCACAGACAGCTGAGAAAATTGAATAGCACACCGCTCCGAGATCAACTCTACCAGTCACCTTTATGAAATCAGTGACACAATCTCAGCATACAGATCAAAACACCTATAATACCCCTAGGTCAAACCCCAGTCAAAATCCAGGTCAAAGTCAACTGAGTCAACCGCGTTGACTCAGTAAGTATGTTGGGCGTACTCAACAGGTACGCGGGGCGTACCACGCGTTTGACCAAAAACGAGGGGCTGACCATGATCGCATAGCGTACCCTTTGGTACGCCCAACATACGCGTTGCCAACCATCTCAATCCATTAAGTGCTTAATCCTTAAGCACATTTGCCCAAAATCCATATCCAGACCCTAAAAGGTGATCTTGACCATAAATTTTCCAACTTTATGGTTCTGCATGGCTATTAAGACCTTAACAACAAAAGCCTTAGCTTCTTGACCCATTAAGACAACCTGGACCATGCATGGGAAGAAACCAATGTCCAAGATCCTATTTTTATGACTTAACACACCCCTTAACATATGAAAGGACATCTCAAATGTCTTGGAGCATTCCATGCTCACAGAGGTCAATATTTGGGAGAAAATGGGCCAACTTTAAGCTAAAACTAGATCTAAAAGAAATTCTCATCAAGGTTGGAGCTTTATACCTCCAGAAGATGCACAAAGGAATGTAGATATTGGATCCAAGGCCTTGAGTGAACCACTATAACCTCAAGGTTCTTCCTTCTTATCCAAAAGCTCCAAAATGGCACCAAAATGGTCTTTAAGCTTCACAAGGCAGTCACACACTTTAGGGTTTCGAAATGTGGAAGGAGGATGGGGTTAAGAGGGTGCATGAGGCCATAAAGATGTTTAAATAGGGTCCAAACCCTAAAAGTAGGGTTTTCACCCTGGCTACGTACGCCCAACATACTCAGAGTACTCCCAACGTACTCATGCATAGCCAATAATTAAGAAAATGCCATTGGGGACCAATTTTGAATATAAATCACAATCCAAGTAAAGGGGAATACTTGAAAAATTAAGATGTTACAAGGAATGTATTTGATTTTGATTTATAGATTCTTGCCAAATTAATTTGATCTGACCTGTCATGCCCTAGGCATATGAGTCAGCAAATCTAGTATATGTCATGGCATAAATGATCGATCTCATAAGCAGAAGCATGTAGGACACGACTCATACTTTATCAACATAAACTGACTGGGAGTTCACATCTAAGATTCCTCGAGATTTTGGCTTAACCTAATGAATCAGTTAGATCTATCTCCAATGATGCTCACATTCTGTACATACATTGTTTCTCCCATATGATTAAAGGTGAAACAAGTTCCCAAAAAAACCAATCTTTTACACTTGATATCTTAGAACGTTGTTTCCTATAAATTAAATATTAAGCATATATTATATCATTAAAACAAAGATTCCATTTTGATAGATGGTTGTTTCATTTCACAATTGAACTTAATAAGCTTACACACGCTTTCACATGTTATCTTGGTTTGAATAGGTGTTCGTTCCCATCCTTATTTGTGATCTTCTTGAAGTTCCATTAACACTTATGTTTTTAAGTTCAAGTGTTGTGATCAACCAAGTTTCAAAATTATATGGACCGATTCTCGCTCTCCATGTCATCCTTCCATCTTGCAGCCTTTTAGAGCCTACCACAACTTCTGATAGATGGCATACTCTGACTACTATCTACTAGTGATTCATATTCCTCAGTAATATAGACTCTATATAACTAGGTATACGACGTTCTCTATTAAGTCTATTATGAATATTTGGAGGCATGCCAATTTCTTCAATATCTCTCAATGTCAAATTGAATGCTAGGACAACTATATGTTCTTTGTTGGTCGACTCTTGAATCTTATCAATATCATTGTGGCTCCTATTAGATCTATTGGATATCAGCTCCCTCTCAAGAAGGACTTCTCCTTCAGCAAAAAACATTTTGTTCTCAAACAATTATCCAAAACGCTTGTTGGGATTTTCAACAAGACAACACATCTCTATTCTAAGTTCTAGATTATTGAACGCTTCATGAAGAACGTAAGCTTCATAATGGTAGACTTCCATATATGTTAATGCGGGATGAACCGTTAGTCCATATTTTGGTTTTCAAAATATAAAATGTGAGCATAAGATGTAACAAGTTATAACTTTAAAATAAAAACCAGCTTTATTAAAATGTTAATAACAACAAATTTTAAAATTGACTTATAAGTCTAAAATGGTGATTTTATAACTTATCAAAACTCCAAAGTATTAATAATAAAAGGTAGTTTTATTAAGTAATATAAAAGGTTCTATACGGCTCAAACTCAAACTTAATATTAGATATTAACTTTAAAATTGAACCACATCGAATTATATAAAAATCAGATTTTATATGTGAACCTTAAGAGCGACTTTTTGGAAAATTGATACCATGATCAATTGGATGCATGCAATTATCATGATATCACATGTTTTAAAATAGAATAATAAAACATATAAATTGCTTTTCAAAAGGCAAGTATATGTCATCCAACTTTAGAATGTAGTCTCTGGTAAAACCCACCACCACCATCATTTCTACAACTTGAATCAAGAAAAAAAATATGATGTTTAGTAAAGAGGAGGGAAAGATAGGCTTCTGGTGAAGTTGCATCTAGAAAAAAACGATATTGTCTCTGGTAAAACCCACCACTGCCATCATCTCTAAAACTTGAATCAAGAAAAAAATATGATGTTTTGGTGAAGCTCTGTCGAAAATTAGTTACATCTTTCAGATACATAGGAACAAATCAAAAACATAATCTAAAACCCATCATTACCTTCCAGAAAAGAAAAACGAGTAATTTCTGGTTAAACCCATGTCCCTCTCCAGATATCCTTGTTCAGAAATCGATCTGGTCTGCACTTTAAACCTCAATGGCGATATGAAACTCAACATAGATGATGCTTGAGAGATACCAGTTTGAAGACAATGTCAAGATGGATACGATCTGCACTGCAGTAGACATGGAGGGAGGGGGTAGTAGTGAAGAAGAAAGAACGATGGACCTACACTACCCAGGAACAAATCGATGTGATATGCAGTTACATTATACATGGAGGTACGGGAGAGTGTGGTCTCCTGCGAGATGGATGCGGTAACTGAAGAGAATGAGAATGAAGGTGAAGAGGGTGCTGGGGATTACTTGACTTATTGGACTTTTGGATTTTTCAAAAAGCCAAAAGTTTAAAAAGATGTTTGACAATTCAAAAAGTCATTTTCAGATTGACTTTTTGGAAGAAGATGGGAACTTTTTAAAAAGTCACGAATTGCTGAGTTTTGGATTTTTGGCTTTTGCCCACTCAAAAAGTAATCCAAACACATTTTAAAAACTCCTTTTGAAAAAAGCCATAATTCAAAAATGACTTTTTAGGTTAAAACACAATTCCAAACACCACTAAAGAAGCTGTGAAGATCATCTTGAAGGGTTGGATGTAGGCCTTTTAGGCTTTTTCTTAAATATTTCTAAATATGGTCCTTATAGTTAAAATAAAAAAAACAAAATAGAAAAGAAAGGTAATTTGGTCATTTTACATATTCTTAATAGGGGTATTTATGTCATTTCATATCTTTTAACAGATTCTCTTAGACGGTAATGGTCCTAAGGATCATATGAGGTACCAAAACCCTTTGTGGGGACCAATTGTGTTACTTTTCTATAAATAGGATCAAAACTATTATTTCATGTAAATCACGGAGACCAAAACTGTAATTTACTCAAAAATTAAAGACCAACCAAACCGCATGGACCTTACTGGCAATTTACTCTTAAAATATTTTATCGTTCCACCTCTAGCACACATAACGATGAGTGCAGATCTATTAATATTGTTTTTTGGTCAATGTTATTCTATTTAGAATTTTAGATGCGAATATTTTTTAAACAAATTAATATTACCAGATCCATAACATCATCAAAATGCTTTAATTAGTAATATAACTTAATTAAGATTTATATATTTCAAAATAAAAATAGATATTCTAAACTTCAAATCCCACAAAGTCCAATATCAGAGAGGCTTGCGTTAAAATGATTGCAAGAACCATGAAATTGAGTTTCCATAAACGAATGAAAAGGAGAAAGAAAACCTCCTGTTTTAAGTTTTAAAGATAAAATAACCAAATAAGGCAGCTAATTATTTTTGGATTATTAATTAATTGACTTTTTCATCTCTAAATGGATCCATGAGTGATAAACATATTTTCTCATAATTTTACATAAATAATCATATTATTAAAAGACGACGACAACCAAGCACATCCTATATAAATATTCTAAAATTTATGTGTTTGTGTGTATATATATGTTCAACGCTAAAGTTCAATCCAACACCTTCTTTCTCCCACACATAAAGAATATCAATGGTAAACTGGATGAGTTATATAAATATAATTCTTTTAAGATGCATTGGATATATCTTTTTTCTTCTTTGTTTTATCCAAAACATAGTTTTATCTGTATTTTGCTTCATGGGTATCTCTGATCCTGTCAAATTCTACCACCACCACCATCATGATCACCAAAAACGATCCAAGAGCCCTCCAATTTCAGCAGTCTTAACTCGAGAATTCCTTGTTACCATGAAATTCAAGGACATTTTGGAAAACGATTCTTCAAAAGATTGTGTAGTCTGTCTCGATGAGTTCAACGAGGAGGATGAGATTCGATGTTTGACAAATTGCAAGCATATGTTCCATCAGAAGTGTTTGGATCGTTGGATGGATCAGATTCAGGAAACATGTCCGCTTTTTCGAGCTCCCATTTTGCCTCTAGTTTGTCAAGATGAATATAAGAAAAGATTTAGGGTTTTCATGGGTCTTAATAATTTTTATGGGGAAAACTTTGTAATTATGAGTTTATAACCTTTTGTTTTTTATAGTTTACATATGATTTTTTTTATAACTAAATCAAAAATGCATTTATTCAGAATTATTTTTATTAAATGGTTCACATATGTAAAACACTAACTCATACATCCAACATGTTTAAAATTTGAAAGATACAATGCAAAAAATTAAACTTGAGCATTAAATGGTTCACCTTCACTAGCTATATGTATTAGTACTCATGACCAAGTTTAAATCTTTTATGGGGTTCAATGGACTAAAAGGACAAACTCTAGACGCTTTAGACAACATTCTTCATCAATTACTTATGTCAATCATTAAAGCTTCTAAGAGGATTATGAAGGAAGCTTTGGTTAGATGACGGTTTGGAAGCAAAAAAACATATGCCATCCATGTCATCCACGTGATCATTGTAATTTCAGATTATAGTTCCATTCAATTTTGGGTTTTGATTTATGTTTTCCTAATCCTTTGGGTTTTATTGATTCTTTGTATAGTTGATTACTCTGCAAGATGAAGATGAAAATGATGTGGAATCTGCAAGATGAAGATGGCAAATAAACCTAACACTTTGACAATGAATATAGAAGATGAAGATGACATTAATTTATTTTAGAGTAAATTACATGGATGGTCCATATGGTTTGGGTAGTCTACATATTTGGTCTTTAACCTTTTCTTTTAAATTCGAAAGATCTCCTCCTATAATATGTTTTTACTGCGGCTTTGATCCTTATAAGACATAAAAGTACTATTTTGCGCTTACTATTTTTTTAATTTATTTATTTCATATATAATTAATTATATCATTATTAAACTAAAATGATCCCCACCTATACCACACCCCTCACCCATTATCCATTGTCATTGAAAAATTTGGCTACTACCCATCCCATCACATTTGATAACCACAATCAGTCTACTTCGATAATCTACATGCATCCACTTAGGTAACCAAGTAACCTATGAAAATAGTTATCAGAGTAAGCATGGGTGGATACGCTGCGATCAAGTCGGGCCCTTCCTCTTCGAACCGGAAGTACCTAAAACCATAAACATAATTCGTAAACACAAAGCTTTGTGAGTTCCTTAAAATAGCACATACCATACATATATGTCAGCTCAAGGCTGTACCGGGTCTATTTCATCCCCCGGTCTATTTCACCCCGAGTCTATTTCAACTCACATGTCAGCTCAAGGCTGTACCGAGTCTATTTCACCCCCGAGTCTACATCAACTCATACGTCAGCTGAAGGCTATACCGGGTCTATTTCACACCCGAGTCTATTTCAACTCAATTGGTATTTTTCAACCGTACGGGTCTATTTCAGCCCAGGTCTATTTCACCCAACATACATGTAACAAACATGCATACATGCGTACAACAAGAGTCAGAAAGACAACAAGCACATAACAGATCCTAATGAGCCAACATTAGTGCCTTCGACCCATGGGTACAGTGATGAGACTCACCTCAATCTAGAGATAACCGAATCACACACGGTGCTTCTACTAGGCTCCTCACAATGAACTCATCCAAATTATCCTTAATCAATAATTAAGACAATTTCCCATAAACCAAGGTCCAATTCATATCTCCTCATAAAAATGGGTAAAAGACTACTTTACCCTTCCAATACTTGGCCCAACAAGGCAGGCCCCAAACCCAAAATGAATCAAGGCCCAAAATTGCCCAAAAGCAATTCAGGTGCGTACGCCCATCGTACGACGCTGAAGCCCAAATCCATTTTCAAACCTCTTAATGCCTTAAGACAACATGCATAACTTTCATATCTGATTCTTATGGGACGTCCTAAGTCATAAAGTTCTTGAATTATGACTTTGCATGGCTTAATGGTGCCCAAACCAAAACCCTAAATCTCCAACTTCAACAAAAGACCACCAACTCATGCATGGAAGGAATAAAAGGACCAAGATCACATTTTTATGGTCCTAATAAATCCATAATGGATAAAGTTTCCAACTTTATCCATTAGAATGGTCCAAACAACCAAGATCTATTCTTTAAGTGTCAAAGGGACCAAAAGTCCAAGTCTCCAACCTTTAGTTCTGAATCAATAAGATGTTTAAATGGATAAAGTTTCCAACTTTATCCATAACAAGGTTACAAAATTTCAAGATCTAAACTTTATGCACTAAAGTGACCAAAAGCTCATAACAACCAAGACTAACTAGATCTATCAAATGTATCAAGATTCAAGCAATATACCTCCAGAAGAAAGATCAAGGTGAACAAGGTCTGGATCTACAATTTCCAAGGCAACCAACACTTCTCCAAGGAGTTCTTCTTCTTCCAAATGCACTAAAATCCTCCAAAAATCAGTCAAATGCTCAATATCCTTCCAAATAGGGCTAGGGTTTCGAATTTAGGGTTAGAGGGATGGAGGTTGAAGATAAGGAGGGTTGGAAATGAGTTAAGGTCTTTAAATAGGGTCGAAGACCCAAAATTAGGTTTTGCGTCTTACCTGCGTACGCCCAACATACTGGGTTGGTCATCCGTGATCATTCCTGCCCAGTACACCCTGCGTATGCCCTGTACGCCCAACGTACTTGGCTTACCCCAAAATCTTCGTAACTTCCAATGCTCATAACTACTTCATTCCATCTCCGTTTTCGACGATCCTTATATCCACGGAAAGGTATTAAGGAGCTCTACAACTTTATTTAATTAATCTTGACTTAAAACACATCGAACTAAAATCCTTAATTTACAAAAGAAGTTTGAAACAAAACTTTTCCTATTTTACCCTTTGACTCCAAAGCACAAATGAACTCTTAGATCACATAATCTACATTACCCACATCCAAATGGGTCTAAACCTTTCTCTACCCAAAGTCTGAAGCCTTATGATACTTGATCTTCAGGTCACATCCCTAAATTATGAAACGAATCAAAACAGGGTATTACAACTCTACCCCACTTAAATTGATTTCGTCCTCGAAATCATTCCTTACTACTTCCTCTGCAATCCTAATCGATCATGCCCACACTTTCTGAATTCCGTTTAAGACTGAAAATTCAACCCATACAGACGACTGCGTTCCAATCCTGCCATCCAAAACCCCATTTTAGCAGAAATCACTTATCTCTTCGAAAGAATAATCCTTAACACTCTGACCTCAGCCAATGAAAGAAAACCAATTGCTCTGCTTGAGAATTGAAACAACTACCTTACTCTTCCCAACTGGAAGACCTTAAATCACAGCATCAACCACTCAAAGTTGGAAACTTCTCGAAGACTGGATCCCATCAATTTAAAACCCCAGAAATTATTCCCTAAGACTGCTGATCATTCATTTGTCTTACCCGCCCCTAGTTCTTGACTAAGAACATCACTCAACCATGCATAAGGAATACTCAAAATATACCGATCGTGAATTTCAACCGATCCAAAGCCAAAAGTCGTGCCCAAAAACCATACGTATACACTTGACATCCTCACAAGTCATCACCAACCCACTACTCCCAAGAGCGTAATGATGGCCAATCCGAGAACCTCGTGTTTCATCTGAATCCATCATTAGTTCACGTGAACATCCACCCGAAAAATCACTCGAGGCATTTACAACGAACTTTATGTCTCGAAATTCCAGAAACGATACCCCACATCGGTAACCAAACTCCTAATGGATAGCCCGAAAGTAAATAGGGTTCATAATGCAAACATTCAACAAGAGACGTCTGGCGTACAAATAATAGTCCCAACAATCTTTTACTGTCCACACGATCCAAACCAGCTGGTCACTGAGTCTCCCGATCCCAATAATGCACTAACACTCATACATGCCAACAAGACTAACGATCCGATACTAAGAGTCTCAATAAAATGATTTTCGGGTTCCACCCATATGAATCATACAACCACTCGTTGACGATACATCACGACACATGCTAACCACTAAACGAAAAACTCACGCTACTATGCCGATCTTGTCGTCATCCCATCAATGGCTTGAAGACTCACGACCAGCACCACATAGGCATAAAGATACCCAACCATCAGTCCAATGAGTTTCAGGAACCCAATCAACATCCCTCTCAATGCTAACCGAACACAAATACGGGTCTTAACCTTCTATCACGCATAACTCCTTTCACAGTACATGCTGTTACCAATTCAACATCAGACGGAAAACATGGTCACACGCAACCAGAGAATGAGATAGGCGGTCGTACTATAATTCCAATTCAAAATCTATAATCCAACTAAGAACCATGTCAATAATCCAAATCAAGTGCCCTCATGCCATCACACTCATTCCACATATACTACCTCGTGACCATAATCGATACACTATCACAATGTACACCCCCAAGGGGAGACACATAACCAACCTTGGATCTACTGCATTCATTCTTCCTCATAACCTTACCCAAAGGGTGAATTACCAGCATATATATTGAAAAGACGGTACTCAATCATTAGTAGAAAGATCCTCATGAATGACCGATACAGGATCCTACCCCTTGACTAAAACTGAACAGATTCCATCATTACGTAACTAGCTTGATAAAACTTCCAAAGTTATTATAAATGTTGCTAAAACCCTGGTCGTATCAATCCAAATACAAACCTCGCTGACATGAGATGTCCAAAAATTGGATTCTACCAACTCGTGCTTGCTATAAACAATAATTCTACAACCAATAATTGAGAATATATTGACAACTAGCCCAATGGTCCAATACACTACTGGATCAAAACCCATGTAGACTAAACACACCATACTCGGAAGCTGATTTATCGATCAACAACTGCCCATCCTAGACTATAGATAGCAATCTATACTACAAGCTGATGAATCCCTCAACACCCAATACTCAACCTAAGCGACCCCAATGCCTCTTGATCTAGTCACCGGCGCCCCGAAGGAACCACTGGCCACAACGAACTCCTTGTACAACAACTTCCTTCCATGAAGACAACTCATGCATTCCTGAGCACATACATTTGATGGAATCTTACTTTGCACTCTCGACTTAATCAAATATT